AGAGAGAGAGAGTCGAGGGAAAGAAAGTCCAAAATAGAAGATGACAAGATCCAGGAAGAGAAAAGTTCGGCGTCACCGCCGTACACTCACGCCAAAGATAACAATCCGCAGCAAAGGCGCATTCGCCGTTAATTCCACTATGGCCCCGGGCCAATCACTCACTCAACTCCAATCATCGAACCTCGTACCCGCACCGACGATCCCAGCCGTCGCGTGCTACTCCCACCACTGCGATCGTCACCCCGCTGTCGCACACTCGACACGGTTCACCCAGATCCCACAGTCCGTCGTGGCGATCCAGCGCGCAACCGACCAATCTATCGTCAGCCCGACATGACTTTCCAAATCGCTTCAAACACTCTGCCTAGCCACTGCTTCCCGGAAGCTGGCTTGAGAGTCGAGAACGTAAGAGAGCTTCGCGGGCGCGCTTGCGGGTTTTATAGTTGCGACACAGGAGATAGAAGGGGGAGAGAACGATGGGAAGGCGGGGTTGTAGGAGGAGAAGGAGGAGAAGACTTTGAGAAGAGCGCTCCGAGAACGCCATGTTGATCCTTCGGAGCTCAAGGTTCAACCAATCAGACTCGTCGCGCGATAGGAAGGTCCTATCGATCCACACACCTGATTGGCGAGCGGGAGTTATCGGGGGATCGACCGGGCGTCGTAYGCCAGACTCATAGGGTGAGAAGAGAAAAGGCRSGAGAGGTGGCGCAAGACGGGTCCAAGATTCARATGATCAAGAAAGGGAAATGGGCGTGCAAACAGCAASAYRRGGGAARGGGAGAGAGGAAGAAACAGTTACGGGGARAGAGAAAGAGGAGGGAGAAGGAGAGGGAGCGCGGGAGGGAGCGATGCGGGGGACARAGAGGAGAAAAGCCTYTGCATGCGTTGYGCCRTCAACAAAAAAGAAAGAAAAAGGCACCGAAACAGTTACGGCTTGCTTTTCTCCTAATTCAAAATTGAAATCASCATAGCTGCRCGCGAAAAAGCGACRAGGGAAAAAAAAATCCTWTGCCTATTCGTATTTACGYAAAATTCCGAGAGTTTTCCCCGACGCGCCCAAGAACATTCACACACCCAAAAATGACACGTCGAAGTTCCGCTTATCCCGGAATTCCCAACTACCGAGCCCAATTCCCATGTATTTCCCGACTTTGCAAAAAGAAAAACAGAACTCAGCAGTCGAAAAAGCTCTAAAAAAAAAGGAAATGCAGCATCCGAAAACAAGATATCAAAACGGGGTTTTTCTTGGGGTTGGTAAGCAAAAGAAAGGGTACGAAAGATAGCACGGGTTCGTGAAGTGGTTCGTCACATATGTGACGCGCAGGGGGTTCCAAAATTATGCGATCTCCCGATTACAAGAAGGGAGAACAAAGTGATGCATGAGGAACCAAACGTATCAACAAAGCAGAAAGAAGTACAATGAACGATAACTTGAGCCGCGGATGAGATGGCGACAACATCCATGGCTAGACCTCTGTAGCCCTGTCATATGCAACCCTCTGCCTCGTGGAGATCGTCCAGGTGACGCCATCATGGTCCACCCGATCTCCGTGTGCTCTGCACCCCTGCTCGTTGCCGCCCATCGAACCAACGCGTAGGTTGACGTCATCATCGATGGTGTGATCTTCGCGAAGCTTACTGATTCGTGTCGATGAAGGGAGGAGAGAAGAGAGAGAAAAAAAAGGGGGGGGGGCAAGTGAATGGGATCTACCACTGCCTAGTTGGAATAGGCCAGTAGAGGCGGTACATGCCGGGGATCTCGCGGGGATGACCGGGTGGGAGTGGGGGTGGGAAGCGATTCATCCCTTCCATCGTCACCGGGAGCTCCTCGAGAGAAGCGAGGTAGTCGTGATAGAAGGAGGAGAGGGTGCGAAAAAGTGCCACTCGAAAGATCTCGAAGTGGCGGCAAGTGGGGATTGTCCCCGTGGCAACGTAGTAGACCTCTACTACGTTGGACTGCTCCCATGCAGCGCTGAACAGCAGGAGATGCCAGCAAAACGCGGGAGCAGCGGACTGAAGGGAGGCGTGGGGGTGGACGGTGGCGAGTAGACGGGTAGAATAGAAGTCGCGGAAGAGATGGGGATGGAAGGGATGGGGAGGGAAGGTGACGGGGGTACGGATCTGCTCGAGGGTGAGGAAATCAAGGGGGTAGCGGGACAGCGTCCGAGGACGAAGGCCTATCATCCGCATCAGCACGTGGGCGAACTGAGGGACAGGTGGGGCTGGAGGAGGAGGGGGATCGGCGCCGTCTCCATCGCGCGGTACTTGAGGTGGTCGCTGCAGGGTCGCCATCTTCTTCTTTGTCGTCGTCGTCGTCGATCACCACTTCTTCTGCCTTCGGGTAGAAGGCGTAAGGGATGATCTCGTACGGCTTCAGATACTCCTGCCGCGATGGTAGCGTATCCTCGTCCCTAGGTTCCTCCAAGCACGAAGTCCACTTAAGGTACGGATCCAGGGATCGCTCGAAAATGCACGGAGCAGGACTGTTGTCACTCTGAAAGTAGATGTCGGGCGAGAGATCATCCGCCAATTGCACGATCGGTGCAATGAGCTCCTGTGCAATCAACTGACAGCGACCCGGTTGTACCGATCCAAAGAGGAATCCAATAAAATCTCCTTCCGCATTAGTCCTCCAACCCTGTATGATCAGCAGCTCCGGATTCTCAATCCACGTGGGTTGCTCGATAGTGCCCGTCCACTTCACTTGTACTCGGGCCAGGCAGAAAGACAACTCCTCAAAAGTCTCACGCTACAGCCGCCAATATCTAGGATTGATAAAAGGGATCGAAATAGGTTCGAACGAGAAGGAGAGAGAAGGGTGGAGATCGGATTGCCAGAAGGTGGGGAAGAGAGAGGGGAGACCAAAGGTAGAGAGAGGAGCGAGACGAGCATCGTGGTTCATTGGGGATGGGGGAAGGGGACGATGGCCGGGATCGCAACTGGCTGCTCGCGCGGTACTCGGCAAATGCTGTCAAGGTCCGATCCAAAGATCGGGATAATGTTATACTCCTCCCGGGCGAGGACGTGCTAACACACGTTGGACACTTGCTCCGTCCACTCACGCAGTGAGGCCAAGATCGCGGTATGCCGCAGCGGATTGACCGAGTTGATGTTGCCAGTGAATCCCGCCATTGTGGTGACGTGGCTCGTTCTGGGACCCGCTCGCCGATGAACTGCTGTAACCTCTGCGAACACTATTGCGCGAGGACTTCCTTCGATTCGAAACGTGACGGCGGTACAAATACCTTCGTCGCAAAAGAATCGCATTAAACGCCGAAGATCCGTATTAAGCCGAGGGTGACAAACTTGCCGAATCTCTTAGATAAGGCCACGTGGCTGCAACAGCTGAATGTCAAGAACCCGCTCCGTGATAAAACTCATGGCGAGATTGGAGAGGAGGAAGAAGGAGAGAGACGTGAGAAAGTTAGATCGTCGTCCTTCTCCTTGCTTTCCGAGGAAGACGAGGGAGGACGATCGGAAGGAGGAAGAAGACGGAGGTAGGAGGTATGCCGGACGATGGGGACAGAGCTATGGCTGGCACAAGTCTCAGGCGCGACGCGTACCGTGTTAGCGCCGTTGGGTCCGAGTTCGACAACGCGAAAACAACCAGAGTACTTGGGAGCGAGTTTCCAGTCGCGTGCACATTTACGTACCTGCACTAGGTCCCCTAATTTATATTGGTACTGGGGCCCAGCGTTTCAATTCCGGGCCTCGTAGCTACGGACCTGTCTACCGTGGGCCAGCTCGGTCATCCTTTGTCTTTCTCGGGCTAGCTTCGGAATGGCCCGTTCCATCAAATCGGTGTACCTTTTGGCCTTGGCCTTTAGGGCCGCACGCGTGTCTCTACCCCCTGCTTCGGCAATTTTCGAGTTRCCCCRRTAATCGACACAGGGGAGGCTATTAGTTCGAAGCTGAAAGGGGGTGAACCCCGTATACTCCTGAGGGGTGGCCCGGTGGATGCCGACGATGTAATATACGATCTCGGGCCAAGGACGCGTGTCGTGTGCCGCTAAGTTCCTGCAAAGGGCGGTTTTAATCATACGGTTGGCATTCTCGGCCAACCCGTTCGACTGGGACATGTGGGGTGCCGTATGTCGGAGCGTGACGCCC